AGTTACTCCATCACAACCTTGATTCCATTCGGTTTTTCAAATTGTACTATGAGTAGATATTATATTATGTACTATGTTTTAGATTTCTTGATTATGTGTTTATGAATGATTTATAAGAAATTTTATTAGAACCTAGATGGGAATGGACACCATAAATTTTAAAATGTTTTCGTATCAAAATAATTTAGTATGAATTGAAATGAGATTGAATGTGTAAATGGATTTGATACGTGTTTTCGAATTTGAACATGCCTATGTTATATCCGTTATTTTGAATAACGAGTATTTTAGGAGAATACATGAATGGTATTTGAAACACCGATTTGAAAATGTATAAGTGTATTTGGTTTTCAAAAACGTTTTCAATCTTCCGGGGAACCTAACTACTAGATGGGGTAGCCTTTGAGCTCGATGATACGAGGATTCATCTAACATGAGAGGTGTAGTGTTAAATCGTATGTCGGCCAAAATGCGAAAACTTAGTCACGAGGGGACTAACCTTTGGGTGTTCACACCCAATGATACATTATTACCCCACGAGTATATAAAACCTTTATATATATGTTTTTTTGTAGAAGTATGTATGAACAAATGCTTGACGATTGATATGAAACTGTTTTGAACCATTTGATTTGTGATATGAAGTGTGTTTTTGATATGCATATATTTTGGGAAATAAGCATTGCATTTTGACATGGATTTGAGAATATTGTCCATAGTCCGTTTCCCTTCCTTAGTGTACTATGTAATGTCTACTCACCGAGCGATGATTTGCTCACCCCTCATTATTTCGGTTTTGTAGAATATTGAGGGATTAGTTATTGCTTTCTTTTAACTATTTTTTGTGAAGTCGGCACTTTGATAGTGCGACTTACCTTCATTGTAATTCCTTAGAACCCATGTATGTTTTGATTTGATTTATCTTAGACGCTCTGCAGATTATAGGCTGTGGATAGCGTATTAAGATTTGATTATGAACATTGATCTTGGTTATTCAAATGATAATAGCTTGGAATTATGAATTGTATTAAGGTTAAAGAATTGATTGCTAAGTTATGATAATGTAAATTGAAATGACATTTGATGAAATCACATTTGAGGTTTTTAGCTTAGTATTTGAGGCTTGCTTGGGTCGAGATGGACCTCACGGTTCCTTCAATCCTCGCATTAGTCATGGCCCACTCCCGAGGTCATGACACTTACATATGCACATTTATATTATTTTTAACAGAAAAATATTAAATGAATTGATTTCAAAATTTTTAAAGTTTAAAAAATACTCAAAATCAATTAAAAAAATTCAAAAAATCAATTTTAAATAATTTAGAATTCAAAAAAAATCATACCCTTTTAGCCTTGTTAAAATAATGCCAAAACCTTGATCGAGTCATTGGCTTTAACCGAGAGCATCCCCGAAGGCTTGAAGTAAACTTTGCCGCGTGTACTATAGCAAGGTTGGCACATCACAAATAGCATCATCGACCACTTGATACATGGTATTGATATTAATTATAAAAATAAAAAAATAAAAGAAGTGAAGATAAGACTATTCACTTAATGTAGCTTCTCACCTAATGTTCGTATTCATACATTTCTTTATTGCTTATTGGTCTCTCTCTTTTTTTTGAGAAATAAATTAATTAGTCCATTTGGTTTGAAAACTATTTTTTTTATCCTTTTTACCATTTTACTATTTTTATTTTTTTAAGAAATAAAAAAAATAATAATTCTTTGAGAAATAAATTAATTAGTCCATTTGGTTTGAAAACTAATTTTTTTTTGTCCTTTTTTTATTTTTGTTTTAAGAAATAGAAAAAAAATAAGTAAAATACGAAAAAAGATATTTTATTTTTTTGAAGAAAATTATCTCATCCAATCAAAAGTATCTTAGTATTGTATAAAGAGACGATGAAATCGTATGTTAAGTTGTTTTAGTTATCCTTATTCGTTCTCATGTAGTTGTATAGATTAATATGAGTGAAAAAAGAAAAGAGAAAAATAAAATTAAATGCAACATAGGGAGGTAGAGATTGTTTTTGAGATAAGAAATTGGAAAGAGAGAGGTGCAAATAAATTTCAATGATTTATCAAAGTGGTAACTAGAGACCTTATTTCTTTTTACTTTTTTAGGACCACCATGTAGAATTAAGAAAATGGTAAATTGAAAGATTAAAAAAATGATATTAGAAAAAAATAAGTAAAATATGAAAAAAGGCATTTTATAAAATAAAAAATAAATTATTCGTGATCAATACTGATTAAAAAATTAAAAAATTTATTTTTAAAACCAAAAGGATTAATTAATTCATTTCTCAAAATGAGATGAACTAATTTATAATTTAATTTGCAATTCAAGAATCTCTTTCATCATAAATTAAGAATTTATGGAATTCAATTTTGTAATAGTTTTTACTAGATGTTTTGCCCGCGCTACGCTCGGGTAGGATAAAATATATAAAATTATTTAGAAATAATGTTTTAGTTTGATAGTTTGTTTTATAGTGTAAATGTATAAAAATATATAAAAATCAAAGGTGAAAAAAATATTTTAAATTTTTTAATGTAATTTGAAATTAAATGGATAAGAATTAAAAAAAAAGACAAATTAAAGTAGAAAATTTTAAATAATAAAAATAATGAAAAAAAGAAAAAAATTGTATAAGTTATAATGATATATTTAAAAAAATAAAACACCGACATATTCATATATTAAAAAAATTGTTAAGAAATAAAATTAAATAAAAAATTTATTTTTATGTGAATTTTAATAAAAAATAAATAATTAAAAAATTCAATTTAAACAATAAAAGTAATATATATATATATCATCTTTAAACTTTATGGAAAACTAAAAAAATAACGATTTATTTTTTTATATATATTAATTTTTTTTGGTTGACCTTTTTCCTTAATTGTTTTTTTCTTCTTTTATATATATATAGAGAGAGAGAGAGAGGGGCGCGCGCCTAATTGCAAGCCAACCGGAATAGACGCTTGGTTGGCTTGTGCAACAAGGTCGCACATGAAAAAAAATTAAAAAAATAAAATAAAAACGGGAGGGAGGCCGACTGCTTGGGCTATGGAGGCGAGCTAACGTGTCCGGGCCTCGCCATTTCGGGCCGTGCGCCGAGCCTTGCTCGCTGAAAACAAAAAAACAAAACTCGCAACTTCGACGAACCCGAGATCACCGGAAGTTCGCTGGAAAATCGAGGGTTAACTTTCGGACCCTTAGAAATTGAATTCCGGCATGATTGTTTCCCTAAACACCTCTAAGTGGCCGGAATAAAGCCAATAAACACATCTAAAACCTTAAAAATTATTTTAATACACAAAACAAAGAAAAATACAAAATCAAATCGAATTTTTTTTTGCTTTTTTGGCTCCGATATACATCTTTTAATTGTTTAATGGCTTGAAACCATCATAGACAAACTAACCTCTCAAAGATAAAAAACTCTAGCGGATTTTCGCCGGCCAAGGTGGCCTAAATGAGCTTGGTCGACGATCTCTCTTTCCTGCTCGTCCGTCTCTTTCTCTCGACCTTCTCTCTCCATCCGGGGACAAAAATGGATGAGAAAATGAACATGTGAATTGAAACATGTGTCCAAAAACTTTAGGGACCAAATTGTAAAAAAAAAGCCATAAATAGTGAAGGTAACGAGTGAATGTGAGAGGATGAATAATGAATTGTAATAGCGTGTACGGTGTTTCAAATAGTAAACGCTACGGTAAATGAGTGTTTTCCTTTAGTTTATCAATAAAGTAATTTTAATTTATTGATTTTAATATATTCCATACAACTTAGATGTTTTTTTTAAAAAAACAAATTTGTTTATACTATATATTCGACTCTACCGTATATATATATATATATATATATATATATATCAAATGATTTTGCTTAGCAAATAGATATGATTTATATTAATTACGATAAATAAGATTTTTATCCGTATTATATCATATAAATCGTTAACTTTAAATATATAACCGTCATCCAATCACAGCAGTAGCACGAGTATCCAACTAGCGAAGAAATAATTTGCAAAGAATAGCATTTATCTAATAATATCATTGTCCCAGTTTACTAGTAAAAGGTAAATTAATGCAGAGATTGACGGTAAAATGAAGAAAATAAATAGTTAAGGCTCCAGTAACTTTTATATATATATATATAAAAGTTACTGGAGCCTTAACTATTTATTTTCTTCATTTTACCGTCAATCTCTGCATTAATTTACCTTTTAGACCCTCTAGATTTGAAAAATTAATTAATAAGTCCTCCTTGTTACCAAAATTAAATATTTAGTCCCTATATTTGTTTTGTTTTTCTTGGAACTTAAGCCTTCTCACTTGTTTTCAATTTATTTTATTTTTTGTTTTAAAAAATAAAAAAGGAAAAAATATGAAAAGATTAATGCTAAAAAATAATATTTTATAAAATAAAATAATATTAAATTAAACATGAACACTAGTAAAAGACTAAATAATTAATTTTTAAAACAAGACAAAATAATTTGTTTTTTAAAAACTAAAGGGAGTAATATATGATTTACTCATCATGCAAGTGTGAGACATCCTATTTCAACCATTCCCAGAAATGATCACATTCAGCAGATGCATGATAAGAAAATCAACCGGCGATTTTAATATACTCAATGCATGAGCTTCAAACAGTGTCTCTGCAACAATTTTACAAAGAATGGTGACATACATGCTAGGCATCCAAAAGTTCCTATTTTTATTTGAGACAAAGTTCCCCTATAAGGACCAAAAAAACAAGGGTGTTAAACCGATTTCAAATCCAATATGTCAAATGAACTCAATGACAGAATCACAAGCCCTTCACCTCCAGTCCTTTCACAGAAAAAAAATAACTGGATTAAAAGCCTCGGTTGATTGCTCAGAGCATAAGCCCATCATACATAAACGTGTTCACCAAAAATGGTGACTGCAAGGCAATTAAACTTGACAGGAGGAAAACCTGCTTCTGTTATCAACTAATCTGCAACCATAAATGGATCTACTTCTCCAAGATGGGCGACTAGTGATTGTGCAGCATCATCATCTTCTGCTCCAAAGTAAGTTGGGAATGGAAGCATCTGAATATCAGGTTTCTTGTAAACAGAATCTTTTATGAACACAAAGTTCCCTTCGGTGCCAGGGACCTGAAAATAATTAAAATCTTTGTAAAGATTGTTACAAAAGATACATAAAAGCAGGGAAGGCTTGGGCTATTGGGGGTGGAACAACATGACTTAAGTAAGATCCATAAAGTCATAAAGAGAAGATAGAAGAGGGTGATATAAAGGCAGGGACCAAAAGAATAGAATCCTTCTGATTTTCAGTGTCTACGTTTCATAAATTTTGCTCCATTATAGAACACGTGATTAGCACTGCAGAACAAAAGAATAGGAAGGGGTACTAATTGCAATTAACCATGGACAGTGGACTCCATGCTTGTTTCACCAACCATGAAACTTTGATAGTATTCACCATCACTTCAACAAAATGTCAAAAAAAAATTTCTGCTAGGATTTGAACCCGTGAATTCTTGTTGCAAGAGACTACTACCACTAGGTTACAAGTTTTTTGATTAAAACGTCAAGCTAGTATCCTAAATACCAGACACGTATGATCCAAAAGATAGTGCACTCAGACCACCAACAAGCAAAGATTTTCAGCAAGCATGGATAGCCTCCTTAATCTTCTATTCAGATTTCATTTTTTTTGTAATGGGGGAAAAAAAATTAGTTAGAGGACCATACTTGGCCTTTCACCCACATCAGATTCCTTGCTGGATCTATTTTGTAGACCCAAACATTTTTAACTGTTCTCTGCACTCCACCCATGCGCCCAGGCATCTTTTTGCCTTTAAATACCTGTCACAAAGAGACAATAGATCATCACTTCTACAACCCAAGGTCAGCAACATACAGCAAAAATAAGTGGTAATATACTCAATAAATCCATAATCATGGGATATACTCCAACAGATTCTAAAAATTTTATCATCAAAAGAAAGAAGTAAAGAGATTGACAAAGAACATCTCAAAGAATACGGCTTTAGGCAGGACATCATGGAGGAGGAGGGTTCAATAGCCAAACCAGCTAGTTTAGAATTACCACTCAGTTGATTTGAGCTGCATTATCGATCTCTATCTCCTTAAAGAAGTTAAAAACAAATGGTGACATTAAAACTGTAAGGTAGTCATGTTGAGAATGAATGCATTATATTCCACAAGCAGGAAGGTTCCAGCCAAAACTCGAAGCAGAATACATCTCACTGTAGTGCAATACTTCAATCAGTCAGCAAGTGATAGCTCCTTAGAAAGAACACTTCCAAGAGGTCCTAGCAGAGGAACTTAGCCCATTACCGAGCTTTATGTGTCTAAAATGATGGTAAATCGGATAAATCACTCATTAGTTCACTCTAAGAAAGGGATACACACCTTCCCGGGAGCATCCCTCTGACCAGTAGAACCAATACTTCGATGTGATAAGGATGCACCGTGACTTGCTGGCCCCCCTTTAAACCCATGCCTTTTCATACCACCCTGTATAGAAAATAAAACAATAAATATACACGACAAGCAAATCTTAAAATTTTCTTTCTCACTGAATTAACAAGAATTTTAACAGAAAAGTTCCTGTAACTTATGAAAAGAGATTTTTATCGTAACACCGCCTACAATTCATCTAAAACAGAACATGAATCCACAGAAACAATCACAAGCACAAGCTTTAGACCTAAGAAACTGATGCATTGCTCATTCTAATGCCATTGAACCATGCAAATTGACAGTCATTAAGATGATAGCAATGCGCGGATAAAAAGGTAAGAAAAATACCTCAATGACCTTGAAAGCATTTCGATATAGTTACCTAGTTAAATTTAGTCAAGTGAGACCCCACCAAAGAAAACTGTAGGCTAATTTCTTTCAAACTTCCTGATTCTAGTAAACTAATTTGCAGACTTAAACAGGTTCAACAATAACTAACTAGGAAGAAAAGGGAAAACGTATAAGCCAAAAATGAACGCAAAAAGAAGATGAGTAGAGGAGAATTAGAAATAGACCTGGAAACCTTTGCCCGTAGTGATTCCTGCGATATCAACAAACTGACCAGGTACAAAATGTCGAACACCAATACAAGTACCAACAGGAAGAAGAGCATCTTCTGTAACAGGAAACTCCCTTAATTTCCTCTTCATTGGAACACCTTGAGCTCTAAAATGACCCACTTCCGGCTTCGTCAAATGCTTCTCTTTCTTCTGCCCGCAACCAACCTAACTAACACGACAATCACAATACTTAGCCAGTATCAAGTCAAATTAACTACAAAAAGATAAAAACCTTAAGGAAATGATAGTACCTGTAAAGCAAAAAACCCTTCTTTTTCAACAGTTTTGACTTGAGAGACAATATTATCATCGACCCATAAGATAGAAATAGGAATCCTAGCACCCCATTTATCCCAACGAGCAGTCATTCCACATTTGACCGCAATCACTCCGGTTCGCTTTGAATTTGGGGTCATTACACCCGGTTTTGCTTCAATGATCCGGCTTCGTTGTTGGCACTCAATCTCAGACCCGTCGACCAAAGCATCACTGCTGAACCTTCTCAAGAGGTAGAATTGTGTTGTTGCTGTTGGCGGTGATGGTGACGATGTTGTTCTTGAATTGACTGAAAGTATCTGATGGAGACGAGAAATGAGGCCTCTCGATAAGGCAGACATGATTTACTACTTTTAGCTAATACTTATCAAGAGAGTAAATATTTTTCAATAGAGAAGAGGAGAAGACTGCATCCCTTTCTTCTTCTTCTTGTTTTTTTTTCAAAAAAGCAGACTGGGAAGGGAAGCAGAAGCGAAAATGGGGATTTAGGAGTTTAGTGTAGTGTAGGGTTTTAGGATCGGGAAGGGAATTAAGACGGCATCGTATGACAAAACCATAATGACGAAACACGGAAGTTTTATTTCGTCGTCTATTTTTTTTAGTCCCTATATATTCATAAGTATGCCACTTCGGATACTAAACTCAAACTTTTTAATATAAATGTTATACTTTTCAAAATGTTACAGTCTCATCTATAACCATTAGATAACAAATAATAAGCAAAATCTAGCCATCAGTTCCACCTTTAACTAAATCTTAAGGATTTTAAAGAACTTTGAGACATACTATCACAATTATATGTATTGAGAATAAGAATAAATAGTATTTTCAAAAATAAAAAATCATTTAAAAAACATGTTTTTATCATGTTGCAAAGAACTTCCATACTTGGTCTAAGGAAAGATAATAGTAGCATATACTTTATTGTTATCAAATAGTTTTAATTCTCAATTCTGAGAAGACATATGATTAAGATAAATTTATGTTACAAAAACTATCAAAGTCAAAATACCAAATTAAAAAGAAAAACCAAAATACGAAAAAATTATGTTTAGACTAAAGATGGACATCATGGTCAACTATTTGATTTCCCTAAATGATTGTTTTTATATTTTTATTCTTTTCTTAAATCTAAAAAAAAAATAGATTTGTGAAAAATATTTTTCTATAAAACTAATATATCAACTTTAGTTTTTTTAAGTTATCAACTAAAGCTATTATAATCTTTCATTAAAAAGTTTCAAAGTAAAATAAAACACTTTTTTGAAAAATAAAATTTAATATCCTTATATTTTTTATTAAAAAAAAAAGTTCCATCAATTATTTAATAACCGGAGCTTTTAAAAAAAAAATTGAAGCTATTAGAGAAAACATTTAACTATAGGGCTGAATCTGAATTTTACTGAAACTATAGAGACTACTAATATAAAATAATATCCAATTTTTAAAACGTTAGCAACCACTACAATTTTGACACGTCATACCGACTTTATCGCCGAAGAAATGGTGGGGGAGAGAGACACACTACTGGCTCTGAGTCTCACTTGGAAATGGAACTCTCCTCTCTTCAACTTCTTCCAATTCAGAGAATTAGTAGAGCTCCAAACCATGAAATAGCAAGCGTATTTAATCCTCGGAGACGGAGTTGCAGAAGGAGACAACGGAAATGGAACATATCACCGAGAACGACGGCGGAGACGACGGCGTTGGAGCAGGCGGGAGGGAAGATGGTGGTGGAGCTAGTAGGAGCATTTAATGAGCTAACTGAGAGAATGAACGTGCTTTCAACAAGTTCTTCTAGAATACTTTTCAAAGCTCTAAAGCTTTCCATTCCTATTTTACAAAATTTACCTCTCTCTATCGATGGCCGCTCTCCTCTCGATAAAGCATGGTCTCTCGCTCTGCTTCTGGCAGATCTTCAGGTAAAAGTACTAATTATTTAATTGTTTATCTTTTAGTAAATAAACAAGTTTGAATTAATCAATTTAATTTAATGGTTTAGATGGATGCGGAAGTAATTTCTGCGGGAATATTGACGCAACTGTTTGAAGCTAGTTCGATAACAATTCGTGAAGTGAGGGATAAAATAGGGAGTGGTACGGCACATTTGTTACACGAAAGTTTGAGAGTTAAAAATATTCCTTCAAGAATTGAGGTTTTGGATGATGATAGTGCTTCAGCATTGAGAAAGTTTTGTCTTACCTATTATGATATTCGTGCTGTGATTTTGGATTTGGCTATTAAGCTTGATATGATGAGGCATTTAGGTTACTTGCCGAGGTATCAACAGCAAATGTTGTCTCTTCAAGTTATGAAGATTTATGCTCCGTTAGCTCATGCTGTGGGGACTAATTGGTTATCGTTGGAGTTGGAGGATTTGTCATTTCGGTATTTGTTTCCTTGTTCATATTTATATGTGGATACATGGTTGCGTAGTCATGTAACAGGTGGGAAGCCATTGATTGATGTGTATGTGGAAGAGTTGAGACAGTCATTGAAGGCTGATCCTGTTTTGGTTGACATGGTGGAGGATGTTTGGGTTAAGGGACGGTATAAGAGTCGGTATAGTACGATGAAGAAGCTTTTGAAAGATGGTCGGAAGCCTGAAGAAGTAAATGATGTTCTGGGTTTGCGAGTTGTATTGAAACCTAAGTCTGGAGAGGATGTATTGGAATTAGGTGAGAAGGCATGCTATAGGACGTGCGAGATTGTTCGATCTTTGTGGAAAGAAATTCCTCACAGAACAAAAGATTATATTGCCAGGCCTAAAGCAAATGGGTATAGGAGTTTACACATGGCAGTTGATGTGAGTGATAATGGCAAGACTAGACCACTAATGGAAATTCAGATAAGGACTGCAGAGATGGATTTGCTGGCAGTTGGTGGAACGGCATCCCATTCCTTGTACAAGGGTGGCCTTACTGATCCTGAAGAGGTTTGTACTCTGTTTATTCATTACGGTTCAGTCTCTGTTGTCAACCAACTTCAGTAAACCAAATTCCCTCTAATTCTCGAAGAGAAAAGTCTAGAAATGAAAACTGGACTATTTGCTAATTAATGATTAAGTTCTGAACTTCATCCAGTTATGAAAATGAGCTTTAAACATATTTGAGACCCCATTATTTTCTATTATTCTTGACTCTCATTTAGAATCATATAATAGAACCGTTCATTCATCTGCATAGTCATCGTGTTCAAATAGATGAGATTTACCTTGATAATATTTGTGCTCCCAGAATTATTACAGCATTATTTGACTGAACATGTTACAAAATGTCCTGAAGTCAGAAATCTTTGTTAGAAGCTGATTTGGTTGTTTGTGCATAGGCAAAGCGGCTCAAGGCCATAATGATGGCTGCAGCTGAACTTGCAGCATTGCGTCTTAAAGATCTTCCCTCTGCCAAAGGTATTGAGATTGACCAGAGAGATCGAATCTTTCAGCTTCTCGATAAAAATGGTGATGGCCGGATTAGCATTGAAGAACTCATGGAAGTTATGGAAGAACTTGGTGCCCCTGGAGAAGATGCACGGGAGATGATGCAGCTCCTTGATTCGAATAGTGATGGCTCTCTCAGCCCCGATGAATTTGATACCTTTCAGAAACAGGTAAAGTATTTTTCTTTTTGGCTTTGATTTGAGATAAATATGGGTAGTGGTCTGTTAAAGATTATTTATTGATACTGGGTCTACTTTGGATTTCCAAGAGGAGCGAAGCTTGTGTTAAAAAATCATCTCAAAGTTTAAGTTGTTGAGTGAGACCCCATAAATGATTTTTACTCAGGCCTAGGAATGGTTTTGTATACTCTCTAACACATCCCTTCCCTTCAAATTGAAACTTTTTGAGTTTAAAACTTACACATGTCCGCCACTAATTTCTGGATTTGAATTGTTGATTGTTTGGTCATCAAGATTTTTGTACCATATGGGAGAACTATTTCAATATAAAAGTTCAAACTGTTAGATGAGAGTCATCAAAATGTTAATACCATGTGAAAGAATTATTTCAATCTAAAAGCTTAAACGATTAGATGAGACTTCAAAAATGGTTTTATATATATTATTCTCTAACAGCTTGAACGCTGAACGTTAAGTGTGTATTTCTGTATTCTGTATTTCTGTCTTTGGTTACATAGGAGGCAGCCGATGCCCTATCCAAAGCTCTAACGCCTCCCTATCCTATTACTATATTCGGTATTTCTGTTTGTCTTTATCCTTTGTAATTGTATATTGTCCTACAGGTTGAATTCATGCATAATTTAGAGGACAGAGATCATCAGTACGAGAGCATGTTGAATGACAAACTTCAAATGGCAGAGGACAGTGGCTTGATTCAGGTATATAGTAAAGAGCTTGGCAGCAGGCTTGCCAGTTAATGAATGAGATGACGATTCATGTATAGCTAACCTTATACCATCACGTTGTAAATTTTTACTACCATATCTGGAACTTCCGAACTTAAAATAAATAAATAAATAAATAAATAAAAAATAATAATAATAATTGAGTCGCTATCCGTACGAGTAATTTAAGAAAACTAATAATTCTAAAATTATATTGGCTACAGAAGAATGAGTAACAAGTTGATTATGTTTAAAAAATAAAATAAAATAACAACCATCAAAAAACATCATTTTCAAGTCTACTTTACTTGTTTTTAATCCCAATTCATTTCCTATAAATCTATTTGTCAAATTATTTTTTAAGTTTTGGGAGTTTATTGTTAAGTCAAGTTGAAAATGTTGTTTTTAACTTAAGTTGAAATCAACTTAAGTTTATTGTTAAGTCAAGTTGAAAATGTTGTTTTTAAATTAAGTTTCAACTTAAGTTAAAAACAACATTTTCAACTTGACTTAACAATAAACTCGCAAATTGTTGTCGGAGTAGTCTCGTCTACTTAATGTAGGATCCAATTTCTTTCTAATATAAGAGTATATGCAAAAAAAATAATTAAAAAAAAATCTCATTAAATTGTTTTTTGGTTCTAAAATTAGGAGTTTCAGTAAATTTAATATTGAGATTGATTACTTTTCAATATAAAAGAATATGTGAAAAGTATGCTAAATGGATATGGTAAACTAACACAAGCTTGATATGAAATGTAATGATAATAATAATAATAATAATAAAATCATGATTAAATAAGATGTAATTTTTGATATGCTAAATTAATAAAAATTTATTGTGAAATTTCAAAATTAGGAGTCTTATTAATTTAATGACAGGTCTAATTAAAGACTTAGGAGGTGTTGGATAATCTATTTAAGTAATTTAAAAAATTAAGTTGTAGTACTTAGTATAAAAAGTTTGTTTGATAATCTAAATAATTTCATATTAAAAATTTAAATTTAATCAAAATCTACTTAATTAGTTAAGTTAAAATTTTTAACTTATTACTTATTGATAAACATTTTCAGTTGAAAGATTTTTAAAACTTTTCAAATATGATTATATCGTCCTCATATATTATTATAACCTTAACTATACAAATCGATTGAAAAATCAATTATATGTAGGATCCATAACACCAATTGATTAATTTGCTTTGATCTAAACTTTGAGATCTAAAAATTAATTGCAAGCTGTGAGACCAGGGAAGACTTCTTCACTGCATGGAATGATGAGACCTCCTATTGGATGATTAAAGCCGCACTCTTCTTCAATATGGGTAAGTAACCTTTTGAATTAAAGCTTCTTCAAGTACGAGATGGGAACAACACATATTCATTGAACTTCTCCAAAATACCCAACAAAATGGCCTTTTGGTACCATACTGCTTGTTTCTAAAGACAAAAGAATACGCCTCACCATCTGCTTAGCATTCAACAAGCCGATACCCATTACTTTTGAAGTATCTTTGGTGGGAAGAGACGATTGTTGAACTAAGAAGATTCGAAAGGTAAAAGAAGCTTTTACACTGAATGATTATGCATAGATGGAGTGGGTGGTTATATAAGGCAAAAACTTTTATACATAGCTAGTTACAAAAAAAAAAAAAAAAAAAAAGAAGAAGAAGAAGAAGAAGAAGAAGATAAATATATAATTGGTGCAACTAGATGAAATGGAATTAGTACTTTAAGGACATGTTCTTTGAGGAATACGCGGCCATGCGTTGGATAAGATCTAGTTTTCATAGATTCTTATAATACTATCAATTGGACTACACAAGAATGAGACAATTATAAAAAAGTACTATTTTTTTTTATACATTTCATTCCTTAAAAGAGCTTTAAGCAATTAATCATATTTTTTATTTGATATATTTAAATAACAGAATAATAATAATGCGAAACAATTTTGTTCGTTGGTTTACAATTTTTGGATGAGATGAAATCATTATTTAATGGCAATTTAGCTATTGGAAAGAGAAGATTAAAGTTCTTCTAAAGACACAATGCCTATAAATGGAGTTACTTTTTCAAATTCTTCTAAAAAATCTATGCTCGCAAATGAAGCTAGTTCTTCAATGCCAAGCTGAATCAATTGGAACAAATTTTGAAGAATTTATTGATTTAGAGTTTGATTCTCCGAGTTCCATTTTCAACTCTAAATGATGATATAAAAAAGCTTGAAAAACGTTAAAAGAAGAATAATGTTAAAATTGTTATATATATAACTTTAATATGTTCAACAACATTATTTATCAAACAACCTTATTATATTTAGTCCTTAATTTTCGGTAAATACCAAATACCTTGTTAGCAACATATTCGGTATTTAATTATTCGAGCACTTAAAATTCGGTGTTTAACATATTCAACACTTAATTTTCAGTTTTATTAAATACCACCTTAGTGTGAATTTCATACGCAAAACATTATGACAAATCAATGCACGCCAAATGCAAAAGATTTTAATAATAAACTCGATTTTATGGCTAAAAAATAAAAATAATTAATATTATACGCTATTCTAAAAATGAACATGAAACTTTATTAAACAAGGATCGATCCCTAAAAATAAGAGATTTATTGATTGAATGTCAAATTGGAATAAATTTCTCATAGTAATTTCAAATATTTTAATAATGCAAGGTATGATGATGATGATGATGATGATGATAATTATAATAATAATAAAACAAGAATGAAAATAAAACATAAAGATAATTTGGGCATGCCAAATTTTGACATATACAAGTTATATATAAAAGCAATATATGCAAATATAGAAGCTACAATATTTATTCATGCTAAATAAATAAAATAAAATAACAATTTTATTGCAAATATAAACTACATGTCTAATTAAAAGAAGGAAACATAATTCCACTAAAAAGAATCTCTCTTAACAAAACAAAGACAAAACCGACTCAAAAAAATATAAAAATAACTTTCTTTCTTTCTTTTTTCCTAATTCTTATATGTTTTCTCGTAAAAAATAAGGTACAATTGAAAATTATTAAAGTCATGTTATAAAAAAGACAATTTTAAAACCATGTCGATCCCTTAATTTATCCTATTAAAATAAAGGATACAATTAAAAAGATCTTTACTATTAATCCACTAAAATAAAAAAGAAAGACAAACTCGGGAACCAAACTTAAAAATGGCAAAACTTCAAGAAATCATAGCATTGTCCGATAACTTTTCTTTTAGTTCGCTTTTAGCAAAAGCAAAGCTTTCATGGTTGAATCGGAGGAGGAGGAGGAGGAGGAGAAAGGGGAAGATTTGGTCGAGTTCTTTCTATTGTCAACCAAAAACTCAACCTCTACATCTCATAAACATTCTTAAACCACCCAAAACAAATTCTAAAACCATCAACCAAGAATAATTAAAAAAATCAATAAAAAATAGCTTAAGCTAACAAAAATAACCAAATCTTATGTCATGGGATGACAAGAGAGTGAAAGCATATCCTCCGAGAATGAGGAGCAAACAATGGCAACACAAAGTGTGGTTTCGAAAAAATTAATCTAAGAAAAACCTTTCTCCCTTTTTTTCTATCTTTTTCTCTACTATTTTCTCTTTCTCTATTTTTTCTTGTTTATAGAAAAAACCCTCCTCTGTTGAAATAGTGGCAACTTTATATAAGTCGAAAAAAAAACCAAAGGTTTTTGAGTTCTTACCCTATCTATGCTTGCATTCTTGTTTTTATTTTTTTTTTCGTTTCCTCATCCTAGAATTTTCAATTTATCTCATATTTGCATCTCGACCCTTGCCTTTCCTAGTGGATAAAGAATTGTCATTTTATGTCATTAATGCGGACGTGAGAGAGAGGAGGAAAAAAAACTATCTTTTATAGTTTTGGCTTGTTGGAGAAAGTACTTTAGAGTTATTTTTTTATGGTATAATGACAAACTTTTGTGATGAAAATGGTTCTAAGTTAAAGAGAGAGTGGAAGGTGGTAAGGATAAGAGTTTCGGTTCTCTTATCCCTTCATTTCTCCTGTATCATAGTCTTTATCTTTAGTTTTCCGAGTAGCTTTTTTATGTCTTTATCTTTAGCTTTCTAATAGCTTTCCTGTTGTAACTAACCAAGTGGTTATCATCCTTTAACTTGCATATATATACTCTCTGTAACTCACGTTAATGATTAAGAGTGAATCAATATATTTTCATGGTATTAGAGCCAATAATGACTTAACGAGTCCATCATCACTTCAATTTTTTTCTTTTTTTATCTTGATCATGTCTATTGCATCTTCCATTATTGCATATGCAGATTCAACCTTGGCCATTTTTTCTTCAAACAAGAGTTCCCCTTCACTTCCTAGCCTTAATAGTCATTTTTTAGTTAAACTTACTCCAACCAACTTCATTCTTTGGCAAACATAATTCCAACGACTTCTTCGTTGTCATGGTCTCTTTTAGCATATTGAAGGATCACAATCTCTACCTGCTACTCTCATCAATAAAACTAAACCAAATCCTACCTTTGTACTTTAGGACATGAATGATCGATTGGTGCTTACTTAGATTATAGGTTCCTTAACAAAAATTATTCTCCTTCTTGTTGTTGGTGTCACAGCTGCTCATGTAGTCTAGTTTAAACTCCTTGCTACCTATGGTTCCGGTACAAAAACCTAGGTTAATCATCTTAAAATTAGTCTTTATCGGTTTGATCAATGCCCCAATGAATGCTGTTCTTCAATATTTTCAACGTGGGAAAAGTCTTTATGACACTCTCCATTCTTTTGGTTTTGTTTTACTCGAAGATGACCTTGTGCAGCCTTTGTTGCATGGCTTCTCTACCCCTTTTTGGCTATTTATGCGCTTGATTGAATTGTGTCATGAACCATTTACATATAAGGCTCTTTATGGTCTTGCTCTCGGTGAAGAAGCTGCAGTTGCAAAATAGTATTCGCACTGCTAATAACCCTATTTCTATTCATTATGCCAATCGTTAGGTTCCATATCGTGGACGTGGTCGTCGTGGTGGTAATCCCACCAATCTTACCTTTTGATAAGGTTCTTCCAATCCTATACTATCTAATCCTTAAACCATTTTTTGTTTCAATTATCGTGGTAATATACATCTTGCAAATATACATCCCTTTCCTAAGTCCACAATACAAATTATTAGTCTAAACCTTCATCCCATCTTGCCTACTATTCACCCACTCATGGTAACCAACAATGGATTGTGGTTACTAATATGACTCATTGCATAAAGGGGTAATTGGATAACCTTGCCATTCATAATGAATATAATGGTCTAGAGGATGTTCAATTGATCGATGGTAAACACATTCCTTTTTCTCATGTTCTTTCCTCCTATTTTCAATTTAATAATTATCTTTTTTGTCTTAATCGCATGCTACATGTTCCTTCTAATAATCATAATCTTTTATCCGTCGGTCCTTTTACTAAAGATAATTCATGTTCTCTTGAATTTTGCCTTGAAAATTTTTTGGTAAAAGACTTGGGTACGAGAGGACATAATACACGAGGCTTCACTTGATAATGGTTGATACAACTTATCCATGGATAAATTTTTCAACCATTCTTCTTCTATTCAAGCTCATTCTACCTCCTTAGCAACATGGCATGCTCGACTTAGGCATGCCTCGTCTAGGACCCGTCCGATGAGGCTTTACGAGATACCACCTTTATTGTTCCTTTCCATCCTAATTTATCTTTGTGTCATTCTTGTTACGTTAGTAAGATCCATAAATTACCTTTTCCTAAGTCTAGTTGTCGAGCTAAGACACCTTTAGAATTGGTTTATTCGATCTTTGGGGTCATTCCTCTACATTATCTATTAATGGTTATTCTTATTATGTTCTTTTCTATGATCATTACGGTAAGAATTATTGGATATTTTTTCTTTGATACAAATCTAAAGTTCTTAGTTGTTTCATTAAATTTTGTCATGTTGTGGAAATTTTTTTGATAAACCAATTAAACGAGTTTCAATCTTATTGGTGGAATGAATATCAAGCCTTAGCCAAATATCTTACCGAAAATGAAATTTTTCAAAGAAGTGTCCGTCCCAAAACACTAGAACAAAATATTTCTACCGAGCGCACACACCGTCATATAGTTGAAACCGACTTAGCTCTTCTAAATCATGCATCCGTTCTCCTATCCTTTTAGACTTATGCCTTTGATGCTACCATTTACACAATAAATAGACCACCCACACCTCGCTTAGAACACCAGTCCTTATATTCCACTTTTTTTCATTCCACTCCCCTTATGATGAATTGAAAATGTTTGGTTGCTTATGCTATCCATGGTTACGACCATATAATAGTCATAAATTAGCTCATTGTTCTTTTCCTTGTGTTTTTTAGGTTCTAATAAAATTCAAAAGGGTTACTTGTATTATGTTATCTTTACTAAAAAAATTCATATCTCACCTCATGTATTATCCGATGAACAAGTCTTTCCATTTGCCTTGTCTACTAGGCATTCGTAAGCAATCTATAATCCATCGAC